CTAACGATATGTTAGATGCAGTCATACAATAGTTGAGACAAAGGCCTTAGTTGTGAATAGAATGATTATAAATGCATTGATGAACATTGAGCTCATAACCTGCACTAGGGTGATTGCGATTTAGCCAGAGAGAGAATTGGCACATGCCTATATATTACGTCACCTCCCACACCATATGCTCACATTGGATCCAATTAGGTGCACAGTCTTGTCGTACAGACCATTATAGGTGGTTCTGACTAGTATGTGACTAACATATTATCGCACAGCTAGCATTTAGAGAGTAAAATTGAGCATAACTATATTACACTCAATCTTGTCGTACAGACCCCTTTTTAGTGGTTCCGACTTATGTGCAAAATATTGCCGTACATGTCATAATAGTGACTTCGGCTAGATTGAGTTTGAGCTATGAATTCAGCCGTATAGACTACCATAGGAGTTCCGGCTAACATATCGTATTTCCATGAAATCATTCTTACCTGAACTGTTTACTTTGTTATATTTTGGCATGACATACATATGAATATGATTATGTGAAGCATGAATTGACTCGATATGATTTCAAATATATTTTATATATGCTTATATCTTGGTTCTAGGAAAATCTTATATGTTTTACAGCGAGGGGTTAGTATGTTGATAAATGAAATGATTTTGTAAAACATTTGTTTTTGCCCACTCACATTTTCTGTTTTGCGTCCCTCCAGGTTTGAAGTAAGATTGTTGTGGGTGGCTCGAGATCTTCGGCAGTTCTGACCTATTCGAATAATAGTAGGACATTCCTGGTACTGTGTAACTAGTACTTGTCCTACTGGACTGCACCTAAACTTTATGCTCTGATTAAGAGTGTTTACTGTATAACTCCTATCATTTTATGTTTAGTAGTGCACACTAGTATTATGGTTTTTAATTATTTGTATGTTTGCTATCTTTATCGCTTCCACACTGTGCACATGGCTACGTCACTCTCACGTGACGGCCAGCATGCCTTGACCTCGGTCGGGGTGTGTCACCACACATTCTCAATATATACCTTATATTTTGTACATACACCCCATATTTTCTATACACCCCACATTTTCTAACACATGTTTCCTTCTCTTTTTTCCTTGATGACTCCATAAAATAATCTTAAGTTTCATCACTACTACAGTGTCGCACTTGCTGTGGACAGTCCTGAATTGTTCAATCGGATCGCAGAAGCATTCTCGTCCAAGGTTGTCATGAAATTTGTAATTCTGCTTTGGGGGGAGAAGTCAAGCCTGGCCAGTGAAGAGGAGATTCCTGTTTTTAACTACAAGGAGATTCTGGATCTGGGTCAAGAGAGTCGTATAGTATGCTCAACTTTAATGATGCCCATATGTCATCCCTCTGTCTTTGCTAACAGTTTCTTTTTTGCTTTAATATAGTACCAAAGATCTAGGATGCTAGGGCTGCAGTAACCTTAGTTTAAATAATCTATTAGGAGACCTCTTATTCAGTCTATTACTAATTTCATGCCAGTAACCAGATTATAGAGTTTCTCAGACAAAAACAAAGCCCAAAAAACAACAAAACCCTAGCAGCAAAGAAACTGATGAACAGCCACAGGGATCCTTGTGATCCCTAAAAGAAATATGAATATAGAAGTTTAAATAACGTAGCAAATGCAAGATTAAATAACTATCGATGTCGTCGAAATCACAAAAACAATGAAAAATATGAAGTCTTACCTCATGTGAAGCTTCCGAAACATCAATTTCGTGTTCCATTCGTCAAAAACAATTTTTCTCAATCAACTTGTTTGTAGTTTCATTGGTTAGGGTTTTGTTCAACAATTGAGGGTGGGAGGGTTTTGATAGTTGAGAGGATAAATAATACGCTAAAAGTGATTTGGGATGTATTTAGAAATTTTTATTTTTTTTTAAAACCTAATAAGCCCAAAATTGTCATTGTATAGTGGGGTAAATAAGTCATTTGATATTAAATTTTAATGTGAGGTGCATTCAACATTTTGTGGGGTGCTAATATAAAAAGCCTTAAAAATCGACAATAATTTCATTTATAATTGTTCACGACGTGTTCTCATATTTGAAAACGTCGTATTACAACATCATTATCAATAAAAACAAATATGCCTTTCTCAACATATACAACCAAACTATTATAGAATTAACTAATGAAATTTGGAATAAAGAATCACAAATTAACCATAAGTCTTACTATATTATACTACATTTAAGAACTTTTTTCATGCCCATTATTATAAATGGAGACGATGGCACTCAGACCTTCTAATTGTAAGTTTTGTTTTCTCCGTCATATCCCTTCTTTTGCTCCGTCCAAAACTAGAATTGAGTGAAAACCTACAAACCACAATAAATTGAAGATATGAAAAATTATCGATGATTGGAAATTTGGGATTCCCAGATAGTACAACCAATTGCGGTGGAGGTGTCTAACTAAACCTGAACAACGGAGAAACTTGGAATTTGATTTGAGGATATGGCGTCTGTGGTGGAGTCGTCACAGAGGAGAATTAGAAGACCTTGTGCGTGTGCGTGTTTGACAAAGAGAAGTTAGCACGTTCAATTCTCTTTAGTTTTGTGTCAATTAAAAAAATGGAGCTTTAATGAAAAGGGTTTAAACTAAGTTTAATTTAATAAAAAATCACCCTATGCTATTATTTAACCAAAAGGCTTCATATTTAATCATAAGGACAAAGCTAATCTATATTAGACTCACAAACATTTAACACACATGGGCTGAACTAAAAGCCCAAAACGAAATGATTTTTTCTTTCCACCTTTGCACCTAACAGCAATGTTATTCTGTCGGCCAATTCTATTAGAAATAAACTTTCCTTCATTTACAAGTATACCATTATGTCAACCAGTCATAACTGTAAGAAAATGTAAGAGCTGTGAAATGTAGAGAGGGAAATTAGAGAGGGAAAGTAGAGAGAGAGTTTTGTAAACTTAATTATTATTACCACACTATTCAATCCAATACAATACATCAACTTGTCTTATAAATACACAACTATAACTAACTCAAGACTTAACCAATGATACATAGACACATGGTAAGCTATACATGTAACACCTGGCACTATTATATCCTAACATTCCCCCTCAATCTTATGCTGGGATTGTCCAAGCATAAGATTGGAGCAATGAGCAGAAAACAATGGCGAACATAAACCCTTGGTGAGAATGTCTGCATATTGGTCCACAGAAGCCACAAACTGCAAAGAAATAGTGCCTTGCTGAACACGCTCCCTCACAAAGTGACAATCAATCTCTATGTGTTTTGCTTTGGAATGCAAAACAGGATTAGTTGACAAAGACATAGCCGAGATGTTATCACAATGAAGTAAAGGAGGTAGAGAAGTATCAATGTGTAAGTCTTTGAGTAATTGTTGTAGCCACACAAGCTCGACAATAGTTGTTGCCATTGCTTTGTATTCAGTGTAACATTGTTAATGACAATTTTATCATTCAAGGCATTTTTTAGGATAACATTTGTTGTCCTGAAGGTTGAACACCAGACTGAAATTGTTGAGGATATGACGGACCTCCTGAGAATTGAGATTGAGAAGGTTGAAATCCGGATAAAAACTTCTTGCCTTTGCCTTTGTTCTTCCAATTGTTTCCTCGGGAATTGTTGTAAGACCCTGAACCAGTTTCACAAAAGCAAATGGTCCAGACACAGGCAGTTGGGAGAATTGATTTAGAAAAGGCATTTTTTGAAGTGACTGGGATTCATGAAACTGTGAAGAACCGGAAAAGCTACCCGTGTGCCAGATTTGGAAGATTGAGCCAGCATTGCAGACATTAAAGGAACTTGCTTGGAAACTTTTTGCAAAGTGGACTCCTCAGCTCGAAGCTGTGAACGCAACTCTTTCAAGGACATAAGAGTTGCACAACCACGAATCACATACTTGATGGTGTTATACTCAGAAGGGAGGCTTCGAAGAACCATAATCACAATATCCTCATCAGATATGAAGACCCCAATAACAACAAGTTGATCTCTGGTATCCTTAATTCTTTAAAGATACTCATCAATTGATTCAGATCCTTTCTGTATATTTTGCAAATCAATTTTCATCTGAACTATGCTAGTCCTAGTCATGTTCGCAAACCGTTCTCTAAGCCTAAGACACATTTCTTGAGAACTCTGACATCCAATCACGCAAGATAAAGCAGCAGTGCACAAAGTAGTAGTAAGAAGAGTCATTAATGCTTTATCATGAATTTTCCACACCTTGTATGCATCAGAGATTACTGGCATTGGATTATCAACCTCCCCCTCAGATTTAGAATCAACAAATTTGGTAGGACACATAATGGATCCATCAACAAAACCATGAATTCCATTACCATCTAACAACAACTCCAATTGAAAATTCCAAGTCACATAGTTGAGTCATCTAACTTCATAGTAACAATATTACCCACACTTGGAAATAAAGAAGCAATAAGCGATTGTGTAAGCATTAACTGAGCAGAGGTAACCATTGTGAAGATACAAACAGATCAAGCACGGCACAAATAGGCAAATCGCAGAAACACAGAATACAGTAGGAATCGTGAACAACAATTCCCAAAAAATTAGGGTTTAGAGGAACAAGAATCAAGAGGCAAGGGATGAAGAATCAGGAAACAATCAGAAGAATGTCACCTTCGAAACTCTGACGATTCAACACCGCGATAAATCCCCTAAACACTAGGGTTTCTAAGGAACTTTGACGACGACGACACCGACTTCACCGACAATCACCACCGACAAACACCTCCCACGAACTCCAACGATTAGACGTTGCTACAGAGCAACAAAGGCAACACTCCGATCAAACAACACGAAGAATCAAACGAGCGGAAGCAATAGGATCATCAACCGACGGCGCAAGCCTTGATCGGCGAAGATACCATGATAACTGTAAGAAAATGTAAGAGCTATGAAATGTAGAGAGGGAAATTAGAGAGGGAAAGTAGAGAGAGTTTTGTAAACTGAATTATTATTACCACATTATTCAATCCAATACAATACAATACATTGACTTGTCTTATAAATACACAACTATAACAAACTCAAGACTTAACCAATGATACATAGACACATGGTAAGCTATACATGTAACACTTGGCACTATTATATCCTAACAGCCAGTTCTTTCTCTCTTTCTTTTTTTCTTTTGGCCGTTCGTTCTCTCTTCAAGTTTTGCTTTTCTTTTCTTGTCTTCTTCTTGTCGTCCCCCTTCCTCCTAAAAGGGAGGTAAAACTCAACGTGGGTGAAGGAGAATGGCCACCTCCTTAACCCATTTTGCACGCTTAAAGAAAATGGGAGCAATTGCTTCCCCAATTACTTTTATTACACACACACATATACATATATATATATTTTTTTTCTTTTTTAATATTATTTTATTAATTTATTACTTATTTGTAATTAGGTGGTTCAAATTCTTTTGCTGATTAATGTCCACTCTTAGTTTTGCTTACCACTTAGAACCCATTTTCCAATAATGCAGGAGCCATTTCCATTGGAAATTATCTCAGTTTCATTTCTAGTTTTTGAGTCTTTGTAGATTTGCAAGTAAGGTCTCGACTCTTGACAGATAAAACAATGGTTTTGTAGATTTGTTCGTAAAGCTTCGGTATTTTCACCGCCTCGGGTGTTTTCAATACCACCATCTTCTCCTTGTTATATGCCTTTACCAGTAGCGTTGTTCGTGGCTTTGTTCTATCCCAGCAACAACCTGAAAACAAATCAACAAAAAAATGCATTGATATAATACTAACAATTTGATACTTTACGTCTTCAAGTAAAAAAAGAAAGATCAAATAGCTACAATATTTCCCCAAGTAAACAAAATTGTCAATTATAAACATTGAACACTAACTATTTCTCGAATTGGATAGGGGTACCATTACTATTTCTTAAATAGAACACTAGTATTATTATGATGTCTTAAACTGAACACTAGCACTATCACTATTTCTTAAACTGAAAGCTCGCACACTATTTCTTAAACTAAACACTCACTATTTCATAAACTGAGCACTGGTATTTTCACTATTTCTTAACTAAACATTCACTATTTCATAAACTAAGCACTGGTATTATTATTATTTCTTAAACTGAATACTCACTATTTTGTATACTAAACACGGGTATTATCACTATTTCTTAAACTTAACACTAATATTATTACTATTTCTTAAAATGAATACTGACTATTTTTTAAGCTAAACACTGATTATTTTTAGAATTAAACACATATACTATCTGTAAGATCCCACATCGCTCAGGTGAGTGATCCTTATATGTATATTCCCATCCCTACCTAGCACGAGGCCTTTTGGGAGTTCACTGGCTTCGGGTTCCATCGGAACTTCAAAGTTAAGCGAGTTCGCGTGAGAGCAATCCCAAAATGGGTGACCCACTGAGAAGTTCTCGTGTGAGTTTACAGAAACCAAAGTGTGAGGGCGTGGTTGGGGTCCAAAGTGGACAATATCATGCTACGGTAGAGTAGAGCTAGAGATGTGGTGGGGGCTCGGGTTGGGATGTGACAATTTGGTATTAGAGCCTAACCCTGGCTGTGGTGTGCCAACGAGGATGTCGGACCCCTAAGGGGGTGGATTGTAAGATCCCACATCGCCCAGGGGAGCGATCCTTATATGTATATTCCCATCCCTACCTAGCATGAGGCATTTTGGGAGCTTACTGGCTTTGGGTTCCATCGGAACTCTGAAGTTAAGCGAGTAACACTCAAGAGCAATCCTATGATGGGTGACCCACTGAGAAGTTCCCGTGTGAGTTCCCATAAACAAAACCGTGAGGGCGTAGTCGGGGCCCAAAGCGGACAATATCGTGCTACAGTGGTAGAGTGGGCCCGAGATATGGTGGACCCCGGGCCGGGATGCGACAATATCACTATTTCTTTAACTAGATACTGATTATTTCTAGAACTGAAAAATGACTATTTATTAAATTGAAAACTTGTACTATCATTATTTGTTAAGCTAAATACTAACTATTTTTCGAATTGAATAAATGTACTATCATTATTTCTTAAACTGAGTACTGATGTTATTACTAATTTTTAAACTAAATACTCTTTCTAGAATTGAACATGTGTAGTATCACTATTTTTTAAACTGAACACTACTCTTATCACTATTTCTTAAACTTAACACTGACTATTATCACTATTTCTCAAACTGAATACAAATACTATCATTATTTCTGAAACTGAATATTAGTACTATCATTATTTCTTAAACTGAAAACTGACTATTTCTAGGACTCAACACTAATACTTCACTATATTTGTAACTGAACATTAACACTATTTTTAGAACTGAACATTGCCACTATTTCTAAAACTAAGTAATGACACCATTTGCAAGACCAAATTTGAAAATATCAATTTTGTAGAAGCATTTACATGGAAAGGAAGTGCATGAGGAGAGGATTAATCTTTTTCTTTTTTTTTTGGTTGGAGAACTAAAATTTCGTAAACTGAACAGTTACATAAATTGAACAATTATTTCTAGAACTGGACAAATATACTATCACTATTTCATAAACTGAACAATTACTATTTATAGAACAGAACATGGGTACCATAACTATTTCTTAAATAATGTGCATTATTTTGCTGTATTTCTATAAATAATGTTTATTTTGTTCATTTCAGAAATAGTGTGGATTTTTTTATTCACTTTTGGGTTATTTTGGTTAAATTTCAAAAATAGTGTTTAATTTTGCTGTAGTTTTAGAAATAATGTGAGTTATTTTGGTTCAATTTCAAAAATATTATAGGTTATTTTGGTTCAATTTCAGAAATAGTTTGTACTTTGTTGTAGTTCCAGAAATAGTGTGAGTTATTTTAGTTCAGTTTCATAATTAATGTGAGTTATTTTGATGTAGTTTCATAAATAGTGTGAATTATTTTGGTTTAGTTTTAGAAATAGTGTGAGTTATTTTGGTTCCGTTTCAGAAATAGTGTGTAATTTTGCTGTAGTTCTAGAAATAGTGTGAGTTCTTTTTGTTCAGTTTCATAAATAGTGGGTTGTTTTGTTGTAGTTCCAAAAATAGTGTGGGTTATTTTGCTATAATTCTAGAAATATTACGAGTTATTTGGTTTAGTTTCAAGAATAATGTTCGTTAATTTGCTATAGTTTTAGAAATAATGTTTATTTTTTTTCATTTTCATAAATAGTGTGAGTTTATTTCGTTCATTTTCAGAAATAGTGTAGTTTATTTTGTTGTAGTTTAAAAAAAGTGTTTATTTTATTTCCTTCCAGAAATAGTGTGTTATTTTGGTTCAGTTTTCAAAAATAGTATGTGTCATCTTACTATAATTTCAAAAATAGTGTGGATTATTTCAGCTCAGTTTTAAAAATTAAAACTCTAAATATTATAGGACGCAAAATTATCGTAGTGCTAAGAAAGATTGTATGTAACATCCCACATCGTCCAGGGGTGAGGATCCTGTAAGCTTTACATGTATATTCTTATCTCTACCTAGCATGAGGCTTTTTGGAAGCTCACTAGCTTCGGTTTCCAACGGAACTCTGAAGTAAGCGAGTTCGCGCAAAAGCAATCCCATGATGGGTGACCTACTGAGAAGTTCTCGTGTGAGTTCCCAGAAACAAAACCGTGAGGGCGTGGTCGGGGCCCAAAGCAGACAATATCGTGCTACAGTGGAGTCGAGTCCGGGATGTGGTTGGAGCCCGGGCTGGGATGTGACAATTTGGTACAGAGCCAATCCCTGGCCAGAAGTGTGCCGACAAGGATGTCGGACCCCTAAGGGGAGTGGATTGTAACATCCCACATCGCCCAGGGGTAAGGATCCTGTAAGCCTTACATGCATATTCCCATCTCTACTTAGCATGAGGCATTTTGGGAGCTCACTAGCTTCGGGTTCCAACGGAACTCCGAAGTTAAGCGAGTTCGTGCGAAAGCAATTCCATGATGGGTGACCCACTAGGAAGTTCTCGTGTGAGTTCCCAGAAACAAAACCTGAGGGTGTGGTTGGGCTCCAAAGCGGACAATATCGTGCTACGGCGGTGTCGAGCCCGGGATGTGGTGGACCTCGGGTCGGGATGTGACATTGTACTCTTTTGACCTTTTGTCATGCTTAGCGTTTTCTTGAGTTTAAGCTATACTAAGTTGGCAATATAAAGCTGATAACAAGTAACCAAAAGATAAATAACTTTTCTAACTTATCACTGTGACCAAAGGCAAATAGATTTGTGATCAAAATTCCTCCTGGTCAAAGACCAAAGTCTGAAGGGGTTGAATGCTTTGAACTAATAAGAATGAACATATTTGTTAAGGTAGGATAAGGATCAAACTTTTTACGTTGTCCATTATATCAACCATTCATCCACAAGCTTACCATTTGAACTCCAAAATAATTTCACTTATCATGTCAACCATCGGATATCAGTTACCTTTTAAATGCTTAGACAAACACCATTCCCCAATCCAAACCACAACAAAAGGAAAAAAGAAAGGTCTACAACTACACGTCAACCAATGTCTCAGAAAACTATGATCAGGCACCTAAATGTAGGTGAGGCAATGCGAGTCGCCCAGGAAAAGGCTGATGCAACCTGCTCAGCTAAGCAATTGCCAACAATCCTAAAAATGTAAAAACATTTGACGATAGCTTGTTTGCTCAGAATCAAGATTAGAATTCATAAGAACAATGCAATGCTATTCCCAAATACAACTTCCTGTAATGAAATATGAAAACCATTTACTCGTCCTCCAACTCATGGATTGAAATTTGAAAACCACAAGCCCCAACCCACTCATTCCATCCAGATCACAGCAAATATAGTATTATAATTTAATCGAGTTAAAACTCATTAGGGATAGATCAACATTCACAAAGATAGAATCCCACGTCAACAATGAAAAGAGGTCAAATTGGATGATTGCGATAAACTATTTAAGATGTATATGTACTAGAAAAGTAATTAAGAGATAATTAGATAATAAAACTCATCCCTCATATTAAATAGGAGGTGCCAAATGAAGCACCTAACAAATTGAAAAGCAAAAGCATGAAGAAACAGCTCTGACCGTTTGTTCAAGCTCTTGACCTCCTTGTTTGTCATTTGCCCTCCAAGCCCAGCAGCTCCAGCTTCCGACTGCCAGAGTCTTCACCTTCTTCATTAATTTGATTGGAGAAATTCAATAACAAAATAAAGAAACCGTGAATTGAAATCAGGAAGGAAATTAGAAATGTGCAAATCTTTCAAACAAGAAACCGAAACGAGAAGATAGCGTACTATTTGACGGGAGAAACTGAGCTCCAGAGGCTTGATACTGAGCCGCTTGCCTGTGCTTATCGGATTCGATGATTCAATTGATTTGTGAACCGGTGGAATTCAAATTGAAAATGAAAAAGAGATTGGATGGAGAGAGAGAGAGAGAGAGAGAGAGAGAGAGAGAGAGAGAGTGAGAGAGATTGCAAAAATGGAGGAAGTGAAGGAGTTGGAAATAAAAGCAATAGCAGAGAAAAGATGGAGGATCGAGAAAGGGAGAGAGAGACGTTAAACGGGGAAGGGCATGCCGTACGGGTAAAATTGAAAATTCATTGTTTGAGCCATTTTGATTGAATTAATTTAATGTTGGGTTTGTCCTAACCATTAAATAAAGTTCTATATGGTTTTTCATTAACATTCAAAGTTTTAAGCTTTTTTCATTAGTTTTTCTTTAAAAAAAAATGTCTTTGACAAAGAGAAGTTAGCATGTTCAATTTTTCTCTTTAGTTTTGTATCAATTAAAAAAATATATATTAAAGATCCTTATTTATTTTCTTATTTATTTCATCTCTTGCTGCTGTTATAGGGGTCAAATTTTATTTCAAAAGAGTACATTTACAAACTTATTGGTGTCAAAGGGATGCCAATGCCCCCGCTTTGGCTCCACTACTGGCTACACCAGCATATCAAGAAAACAGAAGGATAAACACAAATAGTAGACCAAGGAGAAGTTAATGCTTAACTTACTTTAAAAGATTAGGAAAGTGCAAATGAATGTATTCAAATTCCTAACAAATCGGAGATCACTGTGTTGGCATTTTGATACTTAACGAACTTGATCAACCAGATCACTAGACTACATTTATATATAATATCATTGTCAACATGTAGTATTAATATACAAATAAAGGATGCAAGACTTACTTGCAGGATTAGCCATGAGATATAGGCAACCAACACAAACTCTAATGAACAGATTGTAGAGTTGTTGTGGCAAAACCTTTGCAATGATTTTCTCTTCTCTAGGACTCAGAATGGTTCCACTCTTGATAGGGCTGGTGCATATAAACCTCATGTCTAAGAAGAGAGACCATACTGCAGTTTTATTTACGTGAGATCACAACTGCTCCTATCGTGGTAGCAGTTGTGTTTGGAGTTTTAAGAGTTTTTAACCAACTCTTACTCCATTATCTTTAGTTCTAATAATTTACCTCTTATGTATTTTATCATGATAAAATACTTGTAAGTCCATTATTAATATAAGTCCAATTAGTCCTCATAACATATTCGATATCATGGTTTTATTATAACTCACATTCCTTTGAAAACCTTACATTCTCCCACATGAGTATAATTAAACCATATTCAAAATATATGTTAAGACAACCAAGGTGATCATTGACTCATGTTAATCATAATGACTTTTACAATCAATCACTGGCTTGTCAATTGAACTCAAGAAAACATTATACATAAAAATATTGTATAAGTACTTTAGAATTACAAACTGATTAAGGTAAGTGCTGACATTGTAACTTAGGGAACTTCAGTAGGGAGCTTCAATGGTACCAGTAATCCTCCCACATAAGATTGGTCTCCTTTAATACATTTATGTATTCGTTATGTTTTCTGCATCACCAAAACTTTTCATGAAAACTTGAAATAACAAAATGCATGCAGTACACATCAGTTATGAAGTTTGAAACTACGCTAAACAACATTACTGCATAAATATAAATTCATTAATGTGAGTAAGGATATCGTACCTTACTCGCACAATCAAACATGATCAAGGCATGTTCGCAAACCCATGCTCGTAACATGTCTTTGGAACGCTGTAACATGTATTGCTTTTGTCAAAGGGTCTACCACCATGTTAAAAGTACCAAGATGTTCTATCTCAATGACTCTATCTTTAACTTTGTCTTGAACTTTCAAGTTAATATTTATTGTCCATTAGTCTAGATGCTTCTGATCTTCTATTGTTTTTGGAAAAGAAAACAGCTGTTGCATTGTCACAATAAATCTTTAAAGGCATTTCAATTCTTTAACCACCTGCATTTCTCGGATCAAGTTCCTTAGCCAGTTGCTTGGTGTCATTGCCTCAAAGCAGCCAATGTATTCTGATTTCATTGTGGATACAACTCTTGTTGCTTGTTTCTTGCTTCTCCATGGGATTGCTCCTCCACACATAATGAAAACATAGCCACCTGTTGACATCCTATCATCCACTCAGCCAACTAAATCAGCATCAGTATATCACACAACTTCCAGATTTTATACTTGATGAAACCCCAAAACATAATCTCTGGTCTTCTTGAGGTATCTCAAAACTTTCTTTCTTGCATTCTAGTGTGCCACACCAGGATTCGATTGAAATCTTCCAAGAACACTTAATGCAAAAGCCAAGTCTGGTCTAGTGCACACTTGTGCATACATCACACTTCCCACAAGTGAAGCATAAGGTTTACTTTTCATAGTTTCAAAGTCCAAATCTGTAACTGGACACTGAGCTAAAGAAAGCTTGTCACCCATTGAAATAGATACATCACCACTGCTACAACCTGATATGTTGAACCTATTAAGCACTTTATCAATATAATTCTTTTGCGAAAGACCAATAGTTCCTTTTGATATATTTCTCACAATTTCAATGCCTAAGACAAAGTGCACTGCACCCAAATCCTTTATGTCAAAGCTGCTAGACAACATGTTTTTGGTTTCATTCAATAAGTGCACATTTATGTCATCAACATATAGTACCATAAAAATGAAACCTGATTTCACCACCTTCAAATAGATGCAATTGTCGATTTTGTTCTCATTTAAGCCAAATGAAACCACTACCTCATCAAATTTCTTATACCATTGTTTAGAATCTTGTTTAAGTCTATATATAGCCTTATTAAGCTTGCATACAAAATCTTCCTTCCCCCTTTCAACGAATCCTTGGGGTTGTTTCATGTAAATTATTTCATCAAGACTGCCATTTAAGAAGGTAGTCTTCACATCCATTTGATGTAAGTGAAGATCAAAATGAGCTACAAGGGAAATGATGATTCAAAAAGTCTTTTGTAGATACTGGAGAAAATGTTTCTGTGTAGTCTAAACACTTTTTTTGTGTGAAACCTTTTGCCACTAATTTGGCTTTAAGTTTCTCAACATTACCATCGGAATCTTGTTTGGTCTTGAAAACCCACTTATTTCCTACAGGCTTCATATATGTGCATCCTTTAACTAGGGTCCAAACTCCATTCTTTTCCATCAAGCACAATTCATCCTACATGGCAGCATACCATAAAGAACCTTGTGCAATTTGGCCTTTATATAGCTAGTTGGATCAACCTCATCTCCAAAATCATACTCAACCTCATTAACTTAAGTCACATAATCACTAGACAATGCAGACCTTCTAGTTCTTTATGATTTCCTCAGTGTTGCATTAATGGATGATGCTGCAATATTGGATGGTCCTACATGCTCAGTTGGTATTGAAAGTGGTGGTGGTATGCAGGTTCTTGAGTAACTGAAACTGGTGCATAACTTAATGAAGGAATATGTTGATCAGCGAGTGCAAAAAGCTTTCTTCGAGCTTGTGTGAGTGAACTATTGGATACAACAATTAGAGGCAAAGTCAAAACTATAGCACCATTGTCAGCATTCATTTGCATTACATCAATTTCCTCAAATACATAACTATTTTTGGAATGAGAATGCAGTGATTGATACTTTTCAACAAACTTTGCAATATTTGTTTCAGCCAACTTGGTGTGAGAATTAGGATAGTAAAAACGAAACCTCTTGGATCTCTCTAGATATCCAACAAAATAACAGCTAGTTGTTCTCATATCCAGTTTCTTTTGATGTGGATTATACAGTCGTGCTTCACACTTACATCCCCAAATATGCAGGTGTGCAATGCTTGGCTTTCTTTCTGTCCAAAGTTCAAAAGGTGTAGAAGAAACTGCCTTACTTGGTACTCGATTAAGTAAATAGTTTGATGTTTTAATGGCTTCCCCCCATAAAACTCTGGAAGTTGTGACTGTGAAAGCATGCTTTTGACCATGTATTTAAGAGTGCAGTTCCTTCTTTTTGCAGCAACATTTTGAGATGGTGTTTCTGGTGCAGCATACTGTGCTACAATCCCCTCTTGCTGCAAGAATAAAGCGAAGGGTCCCTTTTGTTGTCCCATTTCTGTATACCTTCCAAAATACTCACCTCCCCTATCTGATGTTACTACTTTAATTTGTTTCCCTAGTTTTTTTTTCCACTTCTAGTTTATAAATTTTAAAACAATTGAGCACTTGAGATTTTTCAAAAATCAAATAAAGATAAGTATACCTAGAAAAGTCATCAATGAAGAGTACAAAGTAAGTGTTGCCACAAATTGTCCTTGTTGGAAATGGACCACAAATATCAGTGTGAATTATCTCTAAAAGGTTTTTACTTCTGGTTGAACTGGTCTTTTTATTTGAAATAATAGTTTTTCCCTTCAAACAATCAATACAAGTCTCAAAATCATTGAAGTTTAAGGTTGGCAGCACACCTATTTTCATTAGTCTCATCATCCTCTCTTTGGAGATGTGTCCTAATCTTCTATGCCATAGCATAGAAGAAAGAAGAACCATAATTAGTTATCAATCTCTTAGGAGTAGAAGTATCAACATTGAGACACTCATAAAAATAGGTGCATTGCACTTGCCAAAGATCTCCATTAAGTGATGCAAAACCAAGCAAATTATCATATTGATTCTTTGAATAAAAACGAATATAATTGTCATCAGCAATGAAAGAAAAACCATCTTTTACAAACTTAGTTGCAGAAAGTAAATTCCTTCTCATAGAAGGTAGATAAAGCACATTGTTCAACACTAAAACATAACCAGAAGAAAGCTTTAACATGACTTTACCAATTGATTCAAGTGTGACTTTGTTTCCATTTCCAACATAGACATTGTAATGCTCCTTACTTTGGCTCTTCCGGTTTTGAAATCCCTGTAGTGAATTAGTTATATGCATAAAACAGCCAGTGTCAAACCACCATGAGTGTTGAGTAATAAAAACCATGTTTGATTCAATTGTAACAAAAACATTTATGACTGCAATACCTTTCTTAATAAGCCAATCTTTAAATCCAGCACAATTGGAAGCATGTTTCTTGGAACCAAGATAAGGAGAACCTGACTTAGTTGCAGCTTTGCCAATCCTAAGTGCTGCAGTTTTGCTTGTTCCAAAAACTTTCCCCTTTCCTTTCCCGTATTGCACCAGATTCACAGTTTCATGCTTACTGTTCTTCATTCTCTCCTCCTCTTGACAGCAAATGGAGATAAACTCATTGATATCCCATGTTTCTTTTTGAGTATTATAGCTCACTTTGATTTGTTCATATTCATTGGGTAGAGATTACAAAGCCAAACGAACAAGGAATTTGCCTACAATAGTTGCATTCGTTGCATTAAGCTTGTTAGACAGATTGACAAGCTTAAGCAAATGTTCTCAGACACTCCCAGTACCATCAAATTTGGCATTGATCAAATCTGAAAGATATACCCCAATTTCAGTCTTATCAGTTCTCTTATACTTTTTTTCAATCTTGGCCATATATTGCTTTGCCAAGTCATAATTTTGAATGCCACCTGTGATGTGTTTCTCCATCGAATTTTGCATGATCAGCAAAGACATCTGATTAGCCCTCTCCCATTTGGCAAATGTTTCTTTCTCTGCAGCAGTGCTTGTCTCAGTTAAAGCAGTTGGTTGAGTCTGAGTGAATGCAATGTTGAATTCCAACATACCAAGATGCATGTCAATTTGCTGCTTCCATGACTTAAAATTATTCCAATTCAACTTTTCAATGTTCATGAGATTGAGCATGTTGAACCCTGCTATCAAAACATCATTTGATTACGAGAATCATGATTTTGTGACAAGAAAAGGAACTTATTATTCTTTGCCACCCAAAAACTATGGAACCAGTTACATTTTAGACCAAGAAACTGTCCATATAATCATGATTATGAATCTCAAATCTTGCATAGCTAATTATAAACACTAGAATATGTATAAGTTCAATACCTTTGGGCAAGAATGAATGTGTGTGTGTACATATATATATATCGCCAGTTTCATAACTTACTATACAATAACTTATAGCCAATCCTAGTAATTTGTTTCTTTGGAAAATTTTCTACTTGTTAGAGCATATAAGTCACATATTGTTATACATTATTGAATCTTACAGAATCATGAGAGCAATTAAACCACTTTGGTGATCCTTACAAGTTATTTTGATGATCCACTTAACAATGAAATATTTTTGCAATATAAGATGCTAAATTATATAAGAGTTTTTGATAAACATAATGAACCATTCCATTTCTCCCTCATCTGATACGAACTCAGAATGTATCCTATGAGAAAGGATCTTTATAGAATGAAAGTTATCATTTCAGTGGTTGTAAAGAGTAAAATAAAATAAATACCAAGAGTTTGCAGAAAATCGAACATGCATACTGAGCAACCAATCCGTTAACAATTATTGTTGATGGATCAGAATGAAATATATCATTATAGTAGTGGAAAACCAAAACATAGTTAGTCATGTAGACAACTGAATGAGTCTAATGTCTAGATTGACTGAGCTCTAATACCACATGTTGGCATTTTGATACTTAAAGAACTTGATCATCCAGATCACTAGACTACATTTATATATAATATCGTTGTCAACATGTAGTATTAATATACAAATAAAGGATGCAAGACTTACTTGCAAGATTAGCCATGAGATCCAGGCAACCAACACAAACTCTAATTAATAGATTGTAGAGTTGTTGTGGCAAAACCTTTACAGTGATCTTCTCTTCTCTAGGACTCAGAATGGTTTAACTCTCCATAGGGCTGGTGCATATAAACCTCATGTCTGAGAAGAGAGACCATACTGCAGTTTTATTTACGTGAGATCACAACTACTCCTCCTATCGTGGTAGCAGTTGTGTTTGCAGTTTTGAGAGTTTGTAATCAACTCTTATCCCATTATCTTTAGTTCTAATAATTTCCCTCTTATGTATTTTATCATGATTAAAATACTTGTGAGTACATTATTAATATAAGTAAAATTAGTCCTCATAACATATTCGATATCATGGTTTTATTATAACTCACATTCCTTTGAAGACCTTACACACTGTCGATCGATTGAAGTGGATGGTCGCTCTTGCTCCTCCTCAATATCACATTTATGCCTCTGCTTCTCCGGAGATAAGTAAAGCCATTGCTGTTGCTGTTCATATGCATCATCGATGATATCTGAGGATCTATGTGGATGAGTCCTTTTCCCAAGACTACTTGTTGGTCTGGAAGACAAGTGAAGCCATTCGTATGATAGGCAGTGCACCCCGCAACTTTTAATGCGTGCAGATTCGGGGAAATGAAATATAACTTCACAAAAAGGTCCCTGCTGCTGGCGCATGTCGAAATCCACTAACCCAAGCCACACATGAGTTGCCTCCATGTCTCTGACATACCATAAATATTTTTCACACCTTTGTATTCCGTTTATGAGAATATCAGCATTAGGATCAGGAGGAGTCGTTGCATCAATAATAACATATAGAGCCAATCCTAATAACGTGTCCCCTAGTAAATATAGAGGAATTTCAAAACGAAATTCATTTTTTGATCGATGTTCAGTGGTTGTAAGATGGTCAGAGGTAAAGCTAAACCACTTTGGAACTTCATTGCCTGGAAGAATGACTTTCAATTCAGAGCGCCGACGAGATTCCTGCAAATAAAATCATGTATAGATAAACTATTTACAAACATTCTTTGATCTAATCGCTCACTCAAGTATCAACAAAGTTAATTTCAATTTCAAGAGAAATTAAGAAGAGAGAGAGTTACCTGATTCAACAAATTGTTCTCCAACTTTGCCACCTCATCACCACTTAGTCTAAAGCAATTAATCAACCGCAGAAGCTTAAGCATCGGGGGCAATTTTGGAATTTTCTCCAATGATGTGCAATCATTCAGACATAAATAATTTAGTTTTGGGGGAAGGACTTGTGGAATTTCTCGAAGCCTCTTGCAACCACTCAAGTAAAGTTTCTCCAAGTTGGCAACTTTGCTGATGCAATCTGGAAGACTAACAAAATTGTTTCTCGACAGATTAAGTACTGTAAGTCTTGTTAATGTGGACCAGCAATCAAGAGGCACAAGGAAATCCATTTCTGATAAATTGCATCCATCAAAATCAAGATAGTCTAGGTTAGGAAGGGAGAATTTGATTCGGTTGTCACATGTAGTATCTAAGTCAGTTGGTATCAGTTGATATTCGGTACTGCAAGATGCAACTTCATCAAACTTCACCTCATTCCCAAATGTCACGAGTTTTGGGCAGTCGCCGAAATAAACCTCATTGAGACGTTGCAACCCATAAATATGATGTAATGATGCACCTGTAAGGTTCTCACAACCTTCTGCACTCAATGTTTGAAGCCGAGTAAGATATGCAATTGATGAAGGCAATTCTTTTATGCCACTTTTTCCTATATCCAAGTCCATTAAAGATCCCATCTCGTCCTCCTCTATTTCCGGGAAATTCTCAAGCCTTGTGCAACCATCGAGATAAAGTCTTTTAAGGGATCTCAATCCAAGTCTTGTTACAAACCTCGTAAGATTAGAGCACCCACTAAGATTCAATTCAACAAGTTTACAGAGGAATCCAACAGAATCGTCAACCTCAACCAAACTTTTACAATCCCGTAAATCCAAGTGCTTTATGTTTGGGCTTCCGGATAAGTCGGGGAGTTTTTCCAAGAACTCGCAACTTCTTAAATTCATAGATGTAAGCTTTGCCAAATTCTGTGAGACCAAAATCAAACCAAAATCTGTGAGACCAAAATCAAACCAAAAAAAAATTCATGCTTTTAAAAGAATATAATTAAACGCTTGAGTTTTTTTTTCTTCTTTTTTGAAATAAAATATATGTGCAAATAAATAATATTTCAAAATAATTTAAAGTATGTACCTTAAATCCGATCAATTGTTTGATGCCACTATATGGCATATCAAACATGACAAGATGCCTTGGATGATAATTGGATTGCAAATTGAACTTAACCTGATGGTCACGTCCACCTAATTCAATCCACCTCAAATCGTTGGGTAGTTAATCAACACGTCCAGAAAAGCATGCATTACGGTTTATAAAAATTTCAAGATTTACCATCTGCAAGAAGCTTTTTGCATTCAAGGGTATCACACCAGGTTTGGGCAGCTCCACCACAATGCCTCTAATTTTCTTTGTACCCTAAGATGGAAAAAAGTGAAATATTGTTACCAAACCATGTTGTTTAATTAAAAAACAAAACACAAGGTCTGTTTTAAGTTCTTGATTATTCTTTCAATATCATGCCAAATCAAATGTAAGAAAATATATTATACTTACTTTGTTTTCAGTTAGAACATGATAGACATCTTCATGAAACCACAACCTGCTACGTTTTCCTGGTTCAATGGGTGATTCTTCACGAACTATACGCTTACCCATTTTTTCTAACAAGTCATGCATCAAAATCCTATTATATTCAATAGTTATGATGGCATTCTCAGCAAGTACTTCAATACAATCTTGAGGTAGATTGAGCTTCGAACTTTTTAATATTTGTAACACATGGTCTTTATCTTTACCCTTGAAGAAGCATGCAATGTCTAGGAAAACTTGTTGCACGACATCATCCCAGGCATCATAACTTTTCCGAAGTACTCTTTGAATATCTCTATAAGGTTCTCCTTCATAAGAATCATAACTATCCAATATAGCTTGCCAACGATCTATACTTTTCTTACGCAAATGAGAACCTATAAGATTAAGAGCTAACGGAAGGCCTTGAGCATAGGCTATTGCACGTTGTGTGAGTTCGAAATAATTGTCTGGAGGTTCATTACTTCCGAAAGCATTCAAACTTAAAAGCTCAAGAGCTTTTTCGTCCTTTAGCTTTTGGACCTCGTAGATCAACTCGACTCCATAAGATTCCAGCAATCCTTTATCTTTTGTGGTTATGATCACTCTGCTACCCTCGCCGAACCAATTGACTTCAGCCAAGTTGTTTAATTGCTCCAATTCATCCACATCATCAAGAATTAAGAGAATCTTCTTTCGCCTCAACAAATTCTCTATAAGGCTGTTTCCTCGATGAGTATTGACAACTTTCCACTTTGAACCATGATTAAGCTCACTTAGAATAGTGTTTTGTAGTCGGACTAGGCCTCCGTGTTGCATTGATGTTTCTCGAATATCTGCCAGGAAACAACTACCTTCAAACTTGTGCGCAATTGCATTATAAACAGCTTTTGCAATTGTTGTCTTGCCTATTCCGGATGTCCCCCAAATCCCAACCACACGACGACTATTTCCATCAACACCTAAAAGCTTTTTCACCCCTTGTACGCAAGATTGTATTCCAACTGGGTGTTTGGCCACATTCAAATATGTGCCATCAAGTACTCGGACGAAGATCTCCTTAACAATGTTGCTGATTATTGTAGCTTCATAGCTAGCAGTTCAAAAGAAAAAACACATTTAATCAGTGACAATTTTTTTAAGGTGATTTTGTATAAAATCAATAAAAAGTTACAATATTAACAATAAATAAAAAATATATATGATAACTATAAATTGGCCAATTACCTATTATGATATTTAAATGCGTTTAAAAGAAACAAGATACAAAATTTGCCACAACAGCTGCCACCCACTTCAACTGACAAACCCTTTCTCATATTTTTTTTAATATTTTGGAATAGGTTAATACGGATTCAAACACTGCGTTGCAATGGCTGATTCCTGATTCTATTTTTTTTTCACTTGGATTTAGGCATTGTGTTTTAATGTCCATTACTTGGTTCCCTTTTTTCCATCACTTACACACCTCATGCGCTTCATACTTCGGGCAACTCTTGATTTTTACATTTGGATTCAGACACTGTCATGCAGTGCCCATTTCTTGGTTCTGTGGTTTTATATTTTGATTTAGACACTGCAATGCAGTGTCCGTTTCCTGGTTCTTCTGTTTTTTACATTATTTTTAAATTTGGGTTTAGACACCGCAATGCAGTGTCCGTTTACTGTTCAGTTTTTCACATTTCTATTTAGACGTTGCGTTACAGTGTCCGTTTCCATTCCTCTCTTCTCCATCGCCCTCTCTACCAAATTTATGATCAATGATTTTATTTTGTTTTTTTTAAAGATACTAAAGCTCCAGTCCTCCATCACTAGCACTAAAGCTTCATTGGCTAAACCAATTGCAAAGGCTTCAATCAACGAATTTTATTAATAAAGAGAGATGGAGAAGAGAAGAATGAGATGAGAGATAGAGTTGAAGAGAGAGGGGAGGGAAGAAGAAAGGATGAGAGGGATAGAGTGGTGCACATTTCCGGTGAAAAAAAGTTAAATTAATGCTGAGCGTTCGATTTTGTGTGAATGGTGAGGATTGAAGGATTCCTAGGCTTCTGATGGTAGGGTTCGGAGAGAATCTCAGTTCGAGACGGAATAGAGAGTGTTTGGATTCATCTTCATGTGCATAAACGAGATGGATTTTTTACAGTGAATATCATAAACCTTTTTATGATTTAATTGGGGCAAAATTTTTTTTTTATAACTATTTATATGGGTTTGAAACCCATGTAACATTCCTCGTGACTTATACCTAAATAGTAAGAATATTTCATTGATTAGATCCAAAACAAAAAATGACCATTGATATATGGTTCATTAATAAAGCTTTTATTGACTTTTTACTAAATTTTTATTTTTTTGTGCATTAAAAACAAATAGAGAAAAATATTACAGGATATTAACAAAAAGTGTACTTGAAATTTTTCTCTTTTTCTATCCAAAATGCACTAGTAATTACTAAAGTCCAGTATGTGTCGCTTGCTAAAGATCTAAAGAGTAAAAATGAAACACAAAACTAAATTGATGACATTATTGTAGGAAATTAACTATATCATACAGTAAGGGGGAAAATGTACGTACTCTTCCTCCTTGACAGGATGTCCTGACAAATTTGCTACTTCTCTAAGAGCTTTCCTCCACATGAGCACCTTCTCCTTGTTGCCCTTGGATTTGCCCTCAAGTTTTGTAAACGCGTCACCGAAACTACTCGTTTGATTTCGTACATGAGACGGTTCAATCTTGTAAAAGACTGGCAAAACTATTTGTTGCTTTGATTCTCTACATTGAAGAATCTTGACGAGCTCGTCCAAGCACCACCTTGAAGATGCATAGGTTTTAGAGAATATGACAAGAGAAATTCTTGACTCTTCAATTGCTTGGAGGAGTGCTAGTGATATTTCTTCTCCTCTTGTAAGTTGACGATCAATGAAGGTGTTGATTCCCTTATCAACCAAAGCTTTGTATAAATGATCTGTAAAACTGGTGCGTGTATCCTCTCCCCTAAAACTCAAAAACACATCATATCTCCATGAAGGAGGCAAGGAAGAAGAAGCGACAAGTTGATTGGCCATAGGACAATTATAGCCAGGTAAACTAAAGAAAAGAGCCTCTCAGAGAAATGGAATGTGCAGTATGGTATGGACAATGGACTCTCTCTTGTTGTTTAAGTCCTCATGGTTTTCTTCATACCTACTACGTACCTTCCAATGTGAATGTGGTCAAAGTTGAAGGAGAGAAACCTTCCGACTACATTTCCACTTGTTGAGTATTTTAATTGCTGGCCTAAGGCATGCGATGCAACAACATATATATGACACAATGAAAGCATCGTTGCTTCTGTCTTATATTACAGTTAGTCTTCCGTTCACATAGGAACACTAATAAAAAAAACTCGCATGCGCGTCCGTAAACCAAATACACAATATAAAAATGAAGAATGAAGTTTCCCAAGGCCTAGTTGTTTGCGATCTAAAAATTAGGGTTTTTGTATAATACTTCCACATATGAGATGTACCAGTATTTGAAATGTTAGATTGAAACTGCCAAAATCAAGCCATACAAATCTTTTCATGCATCTCATACACAAGTGTAATGTAGAATTTTTGCTAAATTGACAAACAATAGCGTTAGTGGATAAAAAACTGAATTAGAATTGTGTCCTCACCCTTTGGCCTTGTATCTTTACTTATACAAACCATGATGAGTTTTCTTGCCTTGAAAGTAATACAAACCTATGAGGATTTGGTCGTTAATCGGATTCTACTTTAAATTTAAACAATCACATTCCTAATTAATAATTTAGAAAACTTCATTTTAATCCTTAGAAAAAGATGAGTTTTAGACTATAAACTTGTGTAAGATTAAAATCTAATTTTAGTCCCTGATACATTTAATCATCTCATTTATTAATTATATTTTGATGTTTTAATTCTTTCTTTTTTTTTCTTCCTATTTTTAATGTATTAATTACATTTCATTTTCATTTCATTCATCATAATATATTTTGATGTGTACATTTAGGTAAACTAATATATATATATATATATATATATATATACATATATATATAATATAGGAATATACAATTTTGTATAATCTTCATTTAGGTACATTAATTCATTTCATATATTTCGGTATATCCATTGACGCAAATATATAGGTACATTAATGCAATTTAATATATTTCGGTATGTACATTTCGGTACATTAATTCAATATAATATATTTCGGTACATACATTTAGGTTCATTATATATATGTCAGTACAAACATTTCGGTACAATCATTTTTGTACACTTATGTATTTACATATTTACGTGTCACTAATTTCTTTTAATATTTTCTCCTTTATGTTCATATATAATTGAAAGAACTAATATTTGCATATTAATAAAATTAAATTTTTAATATGGAGACATTAAATAACAAAAATAGAATATAAATTTTAATAAAAGTACACTTTAAAGGATTAAATTGGATATGTAATTAAAAACACCAGTTTTTTTTTTTAATTATGAATCTTAATCTTTTGCAATGACTAATGTTTAAAAACCCCTTAATAATTCTATCACAACACTCACCCTTGAGTGTGTACAACTTATGAAGTAGTAGCATCAGGTCTTTCATGATTAGAGGATGGTAGTTGTTGTCATCAGTTCTCGGTTGATACAATAATTGCTAACACGAGTCTCATAGTAAGGGCTCATATCAAAAAGAAAATCTCACAAAAACCTTGCTACGATAATCCAATAGACTTAAGGGGAAAAAAGTGAGTTAGCGCATGATGTCGATGTTTCACACATCTTCAGGAGGATCAATAAAGCTCACAAGGGTATGACTAGCTTAGGTGTCTCATCAAAGCCTCACCAGGTTACCAAAAACCCAATGAAAAAAAAAAAGTTATCCTCATGATAGGTAAAAGAGTACGTTAAGGTCATACTTCAAGATACTCTCCCTAGGTTCGAAAAACTCCTTTGATTGACCATAGGAGAACTGAAGGCAGACAAGCTAAAGAAAAGAGCCACTCAAAGAGTTGGAAGATGCAGTATGGTATGGACAATGGCTCTCTATTGTTATATCAGTCCTCATGCTTTTCTTAGTACCTACTAGGCACCTTTCAATGTGAATGTAGTCAAGGTGAACGAGAGGAAGTTTCGTGGTAACTGCATTTCAAAAGTGATTTCTACCAGGCATTTTCCTATGTACATATTACCTTTCAATGTGGCAACTACATTTCAAAAGTGATTTTTACCAAGCATTTTCTACCTACTACCTTTCAATGTGGCAACTTCATCTCAAAAGTAAATTTGCAGAATGTGATTCAAGAAGATGGTATCTCTAGCATTACCTTTCTAAGTATTTTCTTTCTTCATAAAATCGTATTCCTTCAGCCAATTAACCTTAATTTCCACTCGCTGAGTTCTTTAATTGTTGGCTTACGACATCCGGTGGATCAGCATGGATGTGGTTCACTAACTTAATTGTTCTTTTAATCAGATAACAACACATTGTTGCTTCTGTCTTATATTATAGTTAGTAACAATAGTAATAAACCATTGACCCCAAAAAAAAAAAAAACCCTTGCATGCGCGTCCCTAAATTAATAAAAATGAAGTTTCCTAAGAAACTGGTGTATAACATACACTTAGAGATAACAATTCAACTCATTACACTCGGTAACCACGATTAACGTCTTACCGTTCTTTGGTTTCCTTTTTTTGTTAAAAGTTTGTAAAATATTAACATTATGTGGAAATTCATAAAAAAAGGAATGCCCTATTTATTTTTACTGCACAGTTTATATGTTGAATTAACTCATTAGAAACACAATAAAAAAGATTTATGCACCCATCAAACTGTGAATGACTACTCCCAATTCCCATAAGAATGATCCAGGTATTTTCCTTAGTTCATAAAATTTAGTATTCTTTCAGCCAATAATAACTTAACCTTAATTTCCACTTGTTGACTTTTTTAATTGCTGGCTTACGGCACCCGCTGCAACAACATATATATTACACACATGAAAGCGTCGTTGGATACCTGTCTTATATTACAGTTAGTCTTCCTTTCCCATAGGTACGTAATACTATTAAAAAATCCTCGCATGCGCGTCCATAAAGAAAATTATATATAAAAGTGAAGAATGAAGTTTCCCAAAAGATTAGTTGTTTGCAATCTAAATTAGGGTTTTACTATAATACTAGCTACCACGTATGAGGTACTTGTATTTGAAAAGTTAGACTGAGACTGTCAAAATTTATCCATACAAAACAATTCAAAAGTTTCATGCACCTCATACACAAGTGTATTGTAGAATTTTTGCTAATTTTTTTTTTTTTTTTTGCACAACTGATAGCGTTAGTAGGTAAAAACATTTCACTAAATTAGAATTGTGTTATCATCCTTTGGCATTGTATCTGTACTTATATTAATCATGATGAGTTTTATTGCCTTGCAAGTCATACAAAGCTATGAGGATTTGGTCGTCAAATCATAATCGGATTCTACTTTAAGTTTACACAATCGCATTCCTAATTAATAATTATGTTCACAACACTCGCCCTTGAGCGTGTACAATTAAGAAGTAGTTGCATCAATGTTAGATCCCACATCGCCTAGGGGTGAGGATCCTCTATGCCTATACATACACGCTCACCTCCTTATAGCACGAGGCCTTTTGAGAGCTCACTGGCTTCGAATTCCATAGGAACTCCGAAGTTAAGCGAGATCGCGCGAGAGTAATCCTAGGATGGGTGACCCACTGGGAAGTTCTCGAGTGAGTTCCTAAAAATAAAAACCATGAGGGCGTGGTCGGGGGCCAAGGCGGACAATATTGTGCTATGGCGGAGGAGGGGCCCAAGGCGGACAATATTGGTATCAAAGCCACTCCCTGGCCGAAAGTGTGCCGACGAGGACGTCGGGCCCCTAAGGGGGGTGGATTGTTAGATCCCACATCTCCTAGGGATGAGGACCCTCTATGCCTTATATGTACATGCTCACCTCCCTATAGCACGAGGCATTTGGGGAGCTCACTGACTTCGGCTTCCATAAGAACTTTGAAGTTAAGCGAGAACGCGTGAGAGCAATCCTAGGATGGGTGACCCACTGGGAAGTTCTCATGTGAGTTCCCAGAAACAAAAAAGTGTGAGGGCGTGATCGGGGTCCAAAGCTGACAATATTGTGCTACAGCGGAGGCGAGGTCGGGATGTGACAATTAGGTCTTTCATGATTAAGGGATGGTAGTTGTTGTCGTCAACTCTCGGCAGATACAATAATTGCTAACATGAGTCTCATAGTAGGGGCGCATATCAAAAGGAAAATCTCACAAAAATCTTGCTACGATAATGTAGTAGACTTAAGGAGAAAAAATTGAGTTAATACTGGGTGTTGATGTTTCACATATTCAGGAGGATCGTTAAAGCTCACAAAGGTATGATGACTAGCCAGGTGTCTCATCAAAACCTCATCAGGTTACCAAAAACCCAATGGGAAAAAAAGTGCCGCTAATCGTAACGAAAATTTAAAGTACATTAAGGTCATGAGAGTACACTTCAGGATAATCCCCTGAGTTCAAAAAACTCCTTTGATTGACCATAGGAGAATTAAAGCCAGAGAAGCTAAAGAAAAAAGCCACTCAAAGAATTGAATATGCAGTGTGGTATGGACAAGGCCCTCTATTATTATATCAATCCTCGTTCTTTTCTTCCTACCTACTACATACCTTTCAATGTGAATGTGGTTAAGTTGAAGGGGAAGAACTTTCATATCAACTTCATTTCATAAGTGATTTATACTAAGTATTTTCTTACCTATTGCCTTTCAATGTGGCAACTTCATTTCAAAAGCGAATTTGCAGAATGTGGTTCAAGAAGATGATCCTGTAGTATTACCTTTCAAGTATTTTTCTAATTCATAAAATAGTATCCTTTTAGTCAATAATAAACCATTGACCAAAAAAAAAAAAAAAAACCTCGCATGTGCATCCCTAGAGTAATAAAAATGAAGTTTCTAAACAAACTGATGTATGAGTTAGACTTAGAGATGACAATTCATCCTGCTAAATTTGATAACCACGATTGACCCTTCACTAATGACTTACTGTTCCATTTTTTATTAAAAGTTTGTAAAATACTTTATGCTGAGATTTATAAAAAAGAAATTCACTATATATTTTCATTTCACCGTTGATATGTTGAATTCAGTCATTAAAAACACAAATAAAGATTTATGCACCTATCAAACAGTGAATGACTT